GTAAAATTTAATTAATAAAGGCAATTTAAATCAATCCAATACCTTTAACTGCAGTGTGCAATAATGTTCCTCAATTAGTGAGATGGAAATGGCGGCTGTTAAAAGGTTAAATCTTCAGTGCTCAGTATAAAGGGCACGTGCCAAATACTGTTTGTACTGACCTAAGCCCTTCTTACTGAGAACCATAAATATAGTAATGAAAATAAAAACTAATAATAATTAATAAAAAAAGTTGCCAAAAATCTATATCATGAAACATATTAATACTGCCCAATATATACTATTGGTTGCTTGTATGTACACATGTGAGATATGTAGATCCACAAAGCACCTTTCAATATGGGGGCACATTTGTAGAAAACTATTAAAACTGTGTTTGGTATACTTTACAGCTTATGGGGAAAGAAAGGAATTAGCCTATCATGTTCAGTATTAGAAATAAAACAATGTACAAGAAATATTTAGATATTTACAAATATTATAAATCCTCCTCCTAGTTAAATTCTATATTGCACTGGTAAAATGCCATACATAATGAAATGTCCAGATGTTGCACAACAGTTCCTTTTCTTCCAAAACCAGAATAGACCAGTTTTTGTGATAGACGAAAGGTTAATGTACTGCAGTCTTGAATGATGTAGGCAGTAAGCTCATCTAAAACTTCAGTCAGTATCTACCAGGCTACATGGTGTAAAATCCCAGAAGAAAGCCATCTTCATACTTCTCACCATGCGAATTTAAAATCTCATACAGAATGAAATTAATGTGGAAGGTCCAACTCCAATTGTAGTAGCATGAACAATTAATGAAGATAGCTAATCTTCTATCCCTGGAAATTTTGCTTTGCCCATGAAAAGCCTGCCAGTCAATGTTGCTTTGTAGAAAAAGATATCTCTTTTCTACCGTCTCAGATGCAACATTTACTCAAAATGAATGTTCTGGTCATAGCATGATTCTGCTTGTATTAAAATCTCTGTTCCTAACAGACAACAAATGATCAGACATTTTGTGTCATACATTTTCTACAGAAGTAATTATGATTACCCAAACAGTATTAAAACTTATTGTAAATGATGGAGCAGCATGGTTATGAATGCTATATTTAGCAAGTTCTGCATTATAATGATTGGCAACAAGTAGCAATACACACCTACTCCTTCCTTCCTTCCTACTGCAAGAAAAAGTTTTGTAGCTCAAGCTTCTTGCTTTGCTAATGGCCTATACAACTTATGTAAATGATGTTGCCACATCTACTGATATGTTCTGTATATATCCTTGCACAGCATCATCTGCTGGTACTCAAATAAAATCATCAAATATACTGTAAAGCTTCAGAAGAAATGTGTGTGGTACTTAGGTAAATATGGTAAAGGACAATAAAGCTGTGAATAATAAGTGCAAACTAATGTTTAACCTTCATACACATCTTTTTAAGAATATATTTTGTCATATCTTCAGATGTTATCCATTGAGCTAATGCTGGCCACATCCAAAAACAAATATAAAACCTACCTAATGTATAGGTACCACAAACAAACAATGTAGAAGGCACCATTCTATGATGTTCTTTCGCCAGTTCTACCACTCTTGTGATTGTTTCCGACTGCACTGGAAAACTGTATCTTGGATCACAATACCTATAGCAGAACAAATTTAATGGAATACAGTGGTTCCAGTCTATACCAGCTGGCAGCAATGTTCAGGATGTATTAATGAGGTTAATGACAGGTAGTACATTGTATTTGGAAACAATTCCTCATTTTGTGACTCCGTTTAAATTTATATGATACTTGGTGAGATTTCAGGTTTTCATGACAGTGAGTATGAATATGACTAGTCTTCTGGTATGTTGTTCCATGTAGTCTCACAGAAACTGGCTTATGTAGCACAGGTGCTTATTGTCTTTATCATGGGAACTACATGGTGCAACAACCCAGAAGACAGTCATCTTTGTACATACTTGATACTTGCCTAAATGTAAAAATGGTGGACTGATATGAAGGAAGTAATAATTTAAAAGGCTTGACGTATCAGAATTGGAACTGGAACCCAAATTACGCACATTTAAATGATGGCATATCTACAGAGATTAATTAGTCTAATACTTGGTATTTTATTACACAGCATAAGACACCAAAACTCTTTAATCTAATACTAAAATTAAAAATTAAAAACCAAACTACCTTTATCCCAAGACCAATCTACCAATTACCAGGTCAGAGATGAAGCTCCAAACTTCAGAGTAAGGGTACGATAATGTATATTTGGTCAGGGCTATCACACAGCTAACAGGGTGGTAATAGATGACTATGGAGACGTGGTGAAATGATGAATATCAGGAGAAAACTGAAGAACTTGTTCCCATCATTCATCATGAATCTCACATGAAATCACTTAGGACTTTTCCCAGGCCCTCTTTAAAATGGGACTATTTATTTTAGTTTGTGTATGAAGGTATGCAGTATGAAAATAAACATACGTGGTGTCAAGGTACAGTTTATCTATCTCAGAGTTCCAGAAGCATGGGTATGACTCCATTTTTGGGTCAGCTCGAAAATCACCAACATGAAGAAAATTTCGGCCATCCTGAAGCTGGAACAGAAACATGACAGAACCTGGACAGCTGAAAAGTAAAGAAATTAATTATTAAAAATAATCATAGGATCTTGGTTCATTACTTTAACCCTTCACAGGCCAGCAGCAATTGTGTGTGCCAGCCATTTAAACAGCACTGACCAATCAGTCTTTGTAATGGAGAAGTATTATGTTTTTGTAGAAGTATGAAATGATTTCTCAATTAATATTTTGATGAGGTCTGGCTTCAATGGTTAAAATGGCACTGAATGTACTGGGGATTCCCTGACAGACAGTTTAAAACAGTGACAGCCCCATTACAAGGATAAAATTATAATTCTTACAAAAGAACAGATAATTTAATTAGTGTCCCACATTTATGAATTTACTGCAATTTTAATGATATTATAAATTCCTACAGCCATGCTTTCTTCCTTTATATATATATAAAACATTTACTGATTAAGCATATTAGTTGCAAAACCATTAATTTTATGCACACAAATTTCATGTGTAAAGCTGAGTTTCCAATTTATGAATCAAGTACTTCACTGCATCCTTATCTACCTTGCAATTAGTGGCAAACTTAAAGCAGTTTCTCTGTAGATTAATGGAAAATGCATCAAACAGTCTGGGACAAATAACTGCAAACAGTAATTAGTAACATCTGTGTAAGATATTGACACACAAAAAGAACATAATTTTTATCTCAAGATATTACTTCAAGGAACCCAGTAATAAACATGCATTATCAAATTGGCCAACTTCAGAAAGAAATGGGATAATATAAACTAATGTCATGGAAGCCCGATATTTCATACGTACTACTTATTTTAACTCTATGGTGTGGAATGTGAAATCTTGTGTGGACATAGTTTAATTTGGTATACAACCTAAAAACAATCTGACTATGGAGTACAGTACTTGTGAGTAACTAATACTTTTACTCATCATCAAACAATAACCATTAACAAAGAACATCGTCAATGTGCTATGAAGAGTTTTTAAAGAAAGAAAACCACTAACTTTTATAAAGGGAAAAACATACATACGTCAAACAATTCAAATGAGGGTAAGAATAGTATGGTGGAGAAAGGAGATCTGAAAACTGAGATAAGTATGAGGAAAATGGAAATTCCCTACATAATAGATCAACTGGAAAGCACATAACATGCATCACAATGTGAAAAAAGTTAAGAACTGGTCAAGAAATTAGTTAAGAGAACACACAAAAATAATATTGCTTGAATAAAATAAATATACCTACTGATTGGCATCCATTGATGTGACCAGAACATCATTAATATTTTGGGGTACATCCAGGTCTAACACATGCAAGTACCTCTCATCCACACGAAGTTTCATTTTTACTAAAGCAGCTAGACAAAAGACAAAAAGAAAATTAAAATGATAATGATGCAATCATGTTAACATACACAAGAGGAAAAGGCTAAATGTACATATGTGTCACACTCATATAACACTACAAACTGCAAATGCAAAGGTCACATTTTGTTCACTGCAATTTGACAAATAAAATTGAATAAGAACAGAGGCATGACAAGGCCTACTCTGAGGTACTACCACATAAATTTCAAGGCCATGAAAATCATAAAATATCTGAAGGCCAATGTCCAATCATATAGATCTCAATCAGGAATCTTAAGCTTACAAACAGAAACCCTAATTCAAAGCCAAAATTAGGTAGCAAGTATATTGGACACTAAGAACATTTAGAAAATTTGGCTTAGAAACTGCTATAAAATCAGAATTGTGTTTTAAGAACGATGGCCAACGTTCTCATAAATCGCTCTATAAAAGATACTGACAAAAGTTATGCACTTATGGAAAGAGAAGTAAGAACCATGTGTTAGAAAACCATCAGAATAAATGACAGCATCAGAGAAGCAACAAGGACTAGTATCCATAATAATTTCTATTCCACCCACAGAAAGTCACACGTTAATAAGTAACAAAAACACCTTTACACTAGTCAGCCACTATTAACAAAACTTAAACCTCCAGAAATAAAAATATGCACCTAAACAGTCACAGTCATAACCTGATATATACTTCAAATCAAAACTACTAAATGTGATGACAGTAAAGGTTAATACATACTAGTGATAAGGGCAAATATTATGATAAATTCACAGTCTGTCATGAATAAAACATATAAAAGAAGACTCATATAATAGCAGTAAGAAAAATGCTTTTCATTTTGGAAACCTTCCGTACCTGTTATTCTGCTACAATAGATCGGCTTTGAAAATGATTTTCTCAGTCCTCCATAATGATCAGAATGGAAGTGTGACAAAAAATAATGTGATATTCCAGGGATAATGCCATATTGAAATGCATCCACCACGAATGATGTGTCTGAAACAATTAAACAGAATGTTAAAAAACCTACAAATGACAACATATACAATTTTAAACTCCTGAATAATTAAAAGAATTACTAGTGCATTTTCAAGATATCTTAATTTTTGTATTTGCTTCCACATTGGTAAATGTATTTCTGTTATTATAGAATATTATATTTCTCTTTATTCATGTACGTGATATATATTTTCTGACAACAAACCTAGCTATCATGTGAAATACACCATAACGTTTACTTCAAGTACTCCTTAATAGCAAAAAAAAGTCACTTTACACTTTTGTTCCTGTGCGAACAAAAGTTTCTCATACACGACATATAAATGTCAGTTGTAAAGGATTAATAAAGTATTGTGTAAGACAATACAATGTAATATACTTACACACATGCACTTCCTCTTAGATATTAAAGCTTTCTGATAATGAAACCTCTATGTTACAATATACAAATTCACTTTTTCATTACATCTCAGATGTTCACTGAATTTACAATTTGGATTTCTTAAAATACAAAATGTCCATATACCTGTAATACCAACTATATTCCCTAAATTCTAGAAATGTTTATAAACTATCTGGAAAATCAAAATTTAATCAAACATGAGATAATGAAATGTAAGTATAAACAAATTAATATGTATACTGGAATTAGATAATAGTAATTAGAGTAATTATGTGTTAAGTATTTTACCTGGAATTCTTTTATAGTAGGGACAAGTCTTCTTTCCTGAATACTGCTGCAGTGAGTGTAAACTACTGGCACTAGTGTGACTATTGGACGTGATAGTTAAGCTGCTGTCATTAATCACATTCATAGTAGATAAACCTTTCTGTTTCATTCCATGCAGAAGCTGCTTCCAATGTGTCACAACAAACTCTTTATCTGCAAATAACATTTAATAATTAAAAACAAACCAATAAGGCTTTATTACATGTAACAATCAAAATAAATTCTTATGCCTCTTTAGAGCTGTTATCAAACAGGGTCACACATACTGAAAGTACAGGAAGTTTTTTCAGAGTGACCCAGCAGACTGGTAACAGCTACTGTGATTGCATTACAAGAAATTTGTTAAGGCTCAAAATCTTCTGGCATTCTACTTTCACTGAGACAAAGTCTATATATATTAAAAACCAGAACTGCGAAACAGAAAATATATTTTGGTTTACTAAACACTCATACTCCCTCAGTAACTATGAATGAAATCCTGCAATCATGTTCATAATAAAGCCTATCCTTTCCAAGAGATGTCAGTGCACATCAGTTAATAAAACAAAGAACTTTAGGAAGAGGAGAGGGAATAACAGGAAATATATAAAACAAGTATGTTTCAAACACTTACTATGATTTGGTACATCACATGAATTTCCTACATAATCTTTCCTGGCTGTATTCAAATCATATGGTTTAAAGAAATGTGAGTCTTGAGATGCTACAACAGAAGAGTTGGTACTTTTAACACCTTTAGTACCACCATCAGCAGAGGATCTTTCAGAACGTGATGACTGAAAATATGATGTTATTGACATCTGACGGTGTGGGACTTCTGCGACTTCCTTCTTAGACCTGTTGTAAGGTAATTTCAGCTCCTTAACATTTGAAAAGAATTTAGATTCCAATTCCTTCTTCTTTGTAACTCTCTCATCAGAAAAAATTGTTGTATGTTCTTGTGAAAGTGAGCAATTTACCTGCATAGTCTTTGAACACTTACAAAGGGAGATCATCACATCACCCACTTCAGTATCTGGCAATGCAGTTCCTACAGCTAGCATCTACTTTTACTGGAGTCCTCAATTTGTTCTCATCATCACCTGAACTCTGTTTCGATTTTGACAAAACTACTGACATGGTAGCCCCGACTTCATGTAAACATTCAGAATCTGACTCCACTTTACAAGGTAATATACGAGTTTCAATGTTACTGTTTTCACCACATCTTGTACCTAATTTATCAGTAGTATAGTTGTGATCAACTGTAGTCAATATGTTTGACTTGCTCCCTTCAGATTTACCACTCTCAACTGTAGATTTCAAATTGTCATCACAGAACTTAAGATCACTACTAGTTCTTTCATTTGGAAGTGCATATTTTCTTCCATTAATTCTAATTAATTTCATTTCATCCTTCTTGTCACTCGCAAATGATTCCAAATGTAAATCTTCAATTACATGATCCACTATTTCGATATTCCTAACCGCATTTTCAACACACGTTTGATCGAAGTCACATTTCTGCAACAGAACATTGTTACAATCACCCCTTCTGACACTGCATAATTGTTTTTCATTACTAAACAATTTCTTTTTGTGAGCTGGGGTATGCCATTGGACATCATTACTAGTTCTCTTGATACTTCTATTACTGGTCAAAGGAGTAAGTGGGCTTAATAATAACTGTTCCTCCTTATGCTTAATTTTGTTTACTTTCTCTGAAGTAGCATACTGTAGACATTGTGGCAGATGGTCCTTGGAAGCTCTCATCTTTGCCAAGGCTGTGTGAGCATAATCTCGATAGTGATGAAGACTAACATTAAAACAGGTTTCTCCCAAAGGGCATTCTGAAATACACAAAATACAAAAATCAGTCCTATAACATATAGATTTCTTAAATTCTTATACTCATAATCACATAAATTAAAACAAATAATGGTCAAATAGTGTACTATGTTTATGATAATAAACTTAGATGCATATAACAAAATTCTTTCTTCTTACATTACCGTTTACCATTTTTATGGTACTGATGTTCATATGTTCAAGCTAAAAAAATTGTGTTACAAGTTTAAGAGTTTCACAGAAACCAACAAAGGTACCATTTTCCAAACCTTTATCATACATACCACTGCAATCCAACTGTGACATAGGGAAAAGGAGAGATTGAGATATATCAATGTAGTCAAATACTGGCAACCATAAAAGACTACAATTGACTTCCTAATATATTCTGTGAATATCTCTAGGGTCTACAACATAAACATTATTTGTGTTGAGTGGGAAGTATAACATTTAATTCTGTGTTATCTATATCAGTTGTAGTCATGCATACTTACCTTCCAGCTCATCAAACTTGATGTTGCACTCATGTACATGTACATGAGGATAAACTTTCATAATGTCAAATGGTGCTTGGCACACTGGGCAGAACTGCACTCTATTTGCACTAGGCTGACGATGTGAATCTTTACACTGGTTCATACCTACTTTGGTTACCATACTTTCTACTGTACTTCCAACACAGATACTTTTAGACCAATACCCAGTACTTTTCCTACTTTTCATATAAGATCGTGATAAGCGACTTGTGGATGATACTTGTGACAATGAAATATCATCATTTCTTGATGTCAATGATATGCCATTTATGGATAATGGCATAAATGTATCATCCACATCATCCATTCTCATCAAACCTGAAACATAAAAAAACTTGTGCACCAAAATAAACTCATACACAAATACATTAAATTCAAGATTTGCATATTTTTACTCATAATTGCTGCTTTCCAGTTCTAAGAAAGAAATTAATAATTCCTTGAATTGAATTTCTTCATATCTACGTAATTTATATTAGAAACAAGTAAATGTTGTGCTATGACATGCTCTATATCCCTGGCTTGCGTTAGTTTCGGGTAGGAAAATCATGGTCATGTTATTTTAGTGAACTGTATCAACAACCACAAATACACGGAAACATTTAGGCCATTCAAGCATACATTTATCGAAAAGTACCTGGAGCACTAACGCGCAACAAAATTGTTTCAATAATTGTTATGGTTTTTAACATATCATGAACTTTTGCTTGTTTTTGTATCATTATTCACTGAACCTATCCTTCAACTAACTTTGGATTTGAAAACCAACGCCTGCTCCTATCTGATATTTATTTACCACTGAGTTATGAAACTTCCGTATCTCCAACACAAAAAGAAACTGATGTGCATACACCTTTCTCAAGAATATACACTTTGTAACGTTCATATTTAAATCCCATTTTCTCGGAAGAGACAACAGGTGAGGAGTACACAAGGCGAGATTTCAAGTTTTACACATAATCGAAAGGAAGCAGGCAGACAAGCACTGTGCACCTCGCAGTTCGTACATTCTGCCAGTTGATAGTGGCCATAAGCGCATTTCAATCATAAATCAATTTTTACAGACTACATGGCTCAACCCACAATAAAATCAAGACATAGTTCAGAGTTTATCTACAAGAGAACGCTCCTGTCGCTAAACACAAATTATAGGTACAGGAACGAGCTCATCTATGAACCACAGAAATTTGCCTTTATGAATTGCCATAAATTTTGCACATACATTATGTGTAGATACAATACAGATCATGGTTTACACCTTCACTTGGTTCACTTTTCGACATGGTAAATACTTAAACCGGTGTTTCGGTAGACTGCATAGTATTGAAATGTTTATTGATTCCCATGACACTTGAATGTTACAAGTTACGTGAAATGCTTGGAAACTAGGTGTCGATGAGTAGGAAGAAGACTGTTTTCTGGGTTTGTTATACCATGTAGTCTGGTAGAAGTTTACTATTCCAGAGGTGCTAGCTGCATCCATGACCAGGGCACCAAACACCTCTGAAAACGTTAAGAAACTTCTACAGAAGACATTTTTCCCTGTGCTGTCATCTCTGTGTACATCTCATCCAATATGCTGGCAGTTCAGTAGCTTGCCCTACTAGTCTATACATTCTACAGGCACAGGCATCAAAACTGTGCATTGTAAATGCAAACTGGGAACAAACCTCCATTGCAACAAAAGGCAAATTTTTCACACACATTTGTTTACAAAAATAGCCACTACTGTTTACAGGAATGATACTGGAACAACAAAAATGACTGCTTCCACTGCAATGCTGTGCCTCAAATGTCAGAAGTTTCTCATGTCATTTATCTTACCTGCAGCAGACAGCTCTCACAGTGCTGAAGCCAGAGCGAATTGGCATGTGGAAGGCGTAGAATACATGAATCTCAAAATGAATGCAATGACATTTCTAAAAAATGACTCACTGCGCAACAATTTCCATATTATATAAAATATATATTTCACTAACTTCTTTATTACAAACATTTTTCTGTAGTGTATATTTAGAGAAATGCAAGAAAAAATAGCTTTGTTAACAATTAAACTGTATCTTCATACTAATGGAAAGAACTATTGGTACTGAGTTGTTTTTTCTGTTGTTGAAGGTAATACATACAAAATGGAAGAATTACACAGAGTATGAATTATGTAACACACATGAAAGATACAATAAATGCATACAAAATTTAACTTCAAATACCTAGAAATAATATATCAAAATTGTTATTAAAAGACAGGTTGTGAAGATATGAACTGTACTAAACTTCCTCAGTCCAATCAGTATACAGTTTATCCCAAGTCCAAAGCAAAGGCCCGATGATGGAACAACTGTTTCTATGTGAGGAAATGAGTAACAACACTGGGGAAAAGAAAACAACATCTTTATTTTCAATCCCTAACAAAGGATATTAATTTTATAAAGCATTCTATATACAATTTCAGAATCCAATTGTGGAAATGAAAACTACAGCCCTTTGCCATCATTTTTAACTTTTGCAGCTCGTGGATCATCTGGGCGGTATACTGTAAAGGAAATGTGACACAATAAGTTGGTGCATAAAGTACATACACATAACATATTTAGAATCATTCTAATCTATAAGCTATTTCTTTATTTCATACTCAGGATGCTAGAGTTCACTGCAAATACAGAATACATGTTTCAAAGTACACTTCATAATGAAGTAAAATACACCTGTTATTTTAGTTTGTATGTGAGTGCATGCGTGCACATGCTCCACAGAAATGATTCATATTTACAGTATTTGATTAGCTGTAATATCGAAAACTCTTATTTCAGTTCCAAAATATCACCTGAATTTCTGAACATCTTTGAAGCAAATACTTTACACTCCGTGCCAGTGCTTCTCAATCGGTGTGTCATGACACTGAGTTCAAATGTATTTCTGCACATTTAACAACAGTTCACAAAACAAGGCAACAATAGTGAGATCATGTTCAGTCCTGTTTTGTCATTTGACTGGCCTGTGCTGCTGTTAAACTGTGGTTGTCTCAATATTTTCATATTTTTTTACATATTGCAAGCTTTTGGAATAACCGTTCATATTTTTAACAATTTGCCAATCTTATTTATTCATCATTCATAAAATGTTTATATGCTAAACTTTTTTATTAACTGTAAAGCAAATTACAAAAATGAAATAAAAAAGTCTATGCCAATTTCTCACTACAGAAACCTTCAGTTCTATCACAGGTAACTTAAACAGAGATTTGTGGTGAACAGAGTGGCACTGGAGGTTTTCCTCCAAATTTCAATTTTCCACTCCATGAGGTGTCTAACAGCACTGACTAAACAGCACATTATCACAACCCTGATACTATGTTAGGGGCTTCATGTAACAGAACACTTGGCTGGTCTCAAGAGTAAGGGCAGCTTTCCACAAGGGAGTAAATTTATTTTTGCAGAAAAAATATAAATTATAATATAAACTACTTTTTTAATGGTAAATGCTAAGATTCCTAATTTATTAAATTATACAAAAAATACTTTTAGTTAATGTCTGCTTACCTATATAATCAACTTTGTATCTCCTGTTGTCTCCATCTTTAGAATAATAATTATAAAGACCAACTACACCCAAGCCCAACCCAAACACAGCCAAAGCTGTAGTGGCAATGATTTCAGGAATTTCATTCCAGCCTTGCTTAAAAACACCAATCACTGGAATAAAAATGCTTGTTCATCAACTTATCTCACCAAAATAATTACAACAGAAGTGTATTAACAACTTATTTAACCTTTAACTAACATGTGGAATAATGTTTTGAATATGTAAGATATAAATGCTGACACATTCAAAACATCTAGGTTTCATCTCCAAAAATTAGAAACATGGATGAAAATTGAAAAGAGGCGGGAAATATGCTGTTACAAATTATTTGTAACCACATATTACAAATTTATATTGTTTTCACACAATGTTTTACAGAGACTTGAAGACATCACTGAATAGTTACAATCTGCACTGTTTATCAGTTTGTGATGTGTGTTAAAATTCAACAAGCCTTGGCTCAAGAAAATGTACACAGCATCATTCAACATCAACAGAAAAAGGAGTTAGTATAACCCATCATAAAGGAACCCTTTATAAAGCACATATGGATGGACTGTGGTCAATTTAAAATCAACAGTTTTACCAATGTTGGTCTTCTGGTTCATAATGGATTTATACATACATACTAAAAATTCAGAGAAACATATTGGTTATCTGTCTACAAATTCACACAACTTTACAAACCAAAAGACCAACATCTTCACAGAAATAAGAACCTAAAATCTCAGAACAGTTATGCCAAGCAGAAAATATTCTGGTGTGCATTCAACATACAGCACATATGAAAGGCAACACTGTCTCTCTGGTTTGGTGAATGTTGCAAATTTCAAAACTATGTGCCAACAAACAATTAGAAAATTAAGAAGATATAAGTTTTGTATGTAAATGAGCAAGACTTTCACATAAACTTAAGACATGATCAGGACATGGTAGAAGTGTACAAATGGTCAAGTAAGATCAACAATCATTGGACAATTAATGAGAGACAGGTCACTAACAGCTTGTATGGAAAAGACTATTGCCCATTCTTCGGAGGTCATCCAAGAGGGCTAGATGAATGACTGACAACATTGCTGAAATCACCACTGTGTCAATAGTACATGTGAAATCTCACAGAGGATCAGTGAGAAGAATGAGTCCTAACTGGGATTCTGAGGGATGCAGTAGCAACAGTATGATGTTACAGCTGACAGTATTCATATATTCTGAAAAGGATTATAACACGAGATGGAATGTACTTTATTTTTATCCACAACTAAGCATCAAGCCTTGTACTGGGAGTCACCCTCATAAGCAAGTACATAGACTGTAATGCATAATTCTCAAGAGTAAGGTGATGTTGGAGGTGTACAATTCATCTGGAGTTCATTCTGGAACATTGTAAGTCAACATGACCATGAACGGAGATTCATATAAAATATAGTGAAAAGTATGCATTTTAAATTAACGATAAATTTAAAACGCAACATACAATATCACATTCTGAAGTTACAAAACTTACCCGTTTTGCCCTTAAATAGTCCCACTAAACGCGCCATTCTGGTTTCAGCAGTCTTTCGACTTCTTTGCAATGAAAGCCTCTTGGATAAAGATATCTGTGACAACTACCTGGCAAAGGATTAGATCCATAGATACTTGGATTTAACACTGCATGGTCAGCAGTTGATTCACATTTAGGCCACACGATTCCGCTGGCGCTAGAAACGTCATTTCACTGCTTGTTAAAGCGGTGATATACCACGACATAATAATAGTAACAAATTACAAACACACACGCCCACATATTTATAGGTGCAAAAGGAACAGATATTACGCAAGGCCATTGACTGACTCACAGTTTGGGCAAGAGACAATAATTTACAACTCAATAAAGAGAGAGGGTCCAGACAAGTTTCAGGAAAGAGCGAATATTCTCAGCAATAGACGTCAGTAAATGTAGGTAAAAGAACGTAAAATAATTAAGTACTTCATGTACCCGGTTATTTTCCTACAAGCAATGCGAACAGCCTTACGGATCCACATAAATGAGAAAACAGCGATAATCATCAGGCACAAAAATAATCCGAAATTGTTATAATCAGATATTGATATTCAGAGCAGAGATTACTCCAACAGTGAAAAATGGCATAAAGCTGCTCTGGTAACATTTGTCTAACCATGGTATAAAAACCCTGGAAATTGTAGAAGTTACATTTCTCATGCAGTACGTACTTTCGACTTGTAAATCCGCTGGATGGCTGCTAGTGTATGATATGACAAGAGGGGACTTGCTCATTGAAGAGGTTAGACATCAGTTGCTTTTTCCCGCAGCGGAAGCCAATGTTCATGTACCGACAAAATGGAATTAGCAGAGGAATTCAATTTAGCGATTCGTAAGCAAGCGACGCTTTGTTGAATTGGTCGTGGAGAAGAGCGGAATATGAACTGCAACATGGAGGACGAGAAGGTCGAGTGCATGGTTTTTAATCATAAAGTACCCAATTTAAAGAATGTTCACGTACGAAATTATAAACCTGTTTGCGCCTGCTGCCAAACTAATTTGATCGACACCAGCTCAAGATACTATGTAGGAAGCACTGGCTGACCGGATTGTTGGTGGTGCAATTTTAAAGTTATCGCTATACTTTTCCTTTCAATGGACGAAATGAACCAGTGTTTGGGAGTATTTTCGTAATTAGAATAAAAAGAAATATTTTTGGAAACCGGAAAAACGAGGTCTGTTGCCTCGATTACAACTTATTGATATTCGCTGTCCCAGAAGTTAGGCGGAAGCAGCCTTCTGTACTGAGAACTCGACTTATTAAAACCCTTCAGCGTGGAGTGCCGAGCACGCTCGCATAATGCGCGCTAAGATTTCTCCTTCTACGTAGCGACTGACCTTGTGGTTTATGTATTCTGGCTCCAGTAGCCGTGTAGAGAAAAAAGCTGGCTGTCGATTGATATATAACATGACTCTGACTGATCGATTTTACCAGTGTCTTTCGACTTTGAAATATAGATCGATTATTGAACTCAACTACATTCAGTCTCTGCTCTGTGGCTCCCTCTATCGAAGACGAATGAAGTAATATAGTTACGGCTACGACAGCTGTGTAGGACACATTGCAAGCTTTGCAACGGTATATGATGTCAGCAAGCTTAGTATGAACTCGACTTATTAAACATTAACATTCATTGTTTTAAACTACATATAAAAGAATTTTTTGTCATCTAATTTCGAATATGGGACATCTTATGTTTACAGTATAATGTTATGGATTACAGAATTTTTGTCTTAACCTGAATATGCGAAGAATCAAATCTTCCTATTTGAACACATTTCGAGAAGAACCAAGGAACAGGGGTCCTAGCAAGATACATTCCGAAATTTTCTCCAAAGACTGCAAGCATTCAGAAAAATGAGTGATAGTTTCATGTCCATGTTTGTTAAGTGATTAAAATCACTTGCAATCCCTTCACTACTGACAAATTTCTAATCACGAAACTGCATCAAGTACGGCTCGCAATTGGCCAAGGATTGTTATCAGTGTCCGGTTCAAATCCAGGAAGGAGGCAGACTATTAATATTCTACCTAAACTGTGCTGGATTTTTACCACCAACACAAACAACTTCTTGGTACTGAGGATTGAGGATCACATAGTGATGTCGATTGTAATCGTCCGGGTTATGGAGATGCGTGGTCTTGTAAGTGGGTACCATGATTAGGGGAAACGTAGGTAATCACATACATGACTACATGACACCACAGAAGACAGAGTTAACAACGTAGCGTTACTTGGAAGATCGAACGTTTTATGTTTTTTTCAGGTAGACGGTATGACGATAATACACTGTTACCTCTTGACAAAGTGTAATTTATTTACTAAAATAAATTAATTTAAAGAAATTGAACATAAGTTAGATTCCGAGTTCTAACGGCTGAGAGTATGAAGATGGCTGTCTTAAAGATAAACGTAGCCTATTGTTCAGAATATTTATAACAATAATGATTCTCCGTGTAGAATACATAAACTGATAGCTCAATATCACAAACTAATATACCCGCTCAATATTTATTTAATAATAATTTATAATACCAGTAAGTTAGTAGTAATTATAATAATAAAAGGATCTCTCTCCTCGCTCATATTTCACTCTGCAATGGTTAAAGAAAGAAGTGAATGGGAATAAAATCGAAAGTTGTCTTTGTACACACGTGATCAAAAGTTGAGGGGCAAGTTGGATGGCAACAACAATTGCATTAATAACAACAAAAACGAAATTAATAATAATAATGTGTCCCAGTTATGTCACGGGAAGTCCGGTTACGCTGAAAGAGTCATCGCTCTGAGCTGGTTTAAGCTCACAGAATGTCTGTAAAGTGTAATAAATTAAACTTGTCAAAGTTTCGCGCAGTGAACTGTGGCAAGTTCGTAGCTTTGAGCTTTGAACACGAGTTTCGTAGCACAGCAGCCTCGCGATATGCGAGAGTGAGACAGCTGAAATTACTTCCAGACGAGAAAGCATTTTCCCGTGAACAAGGCACGGAGAGCGAACAGCTCTCACAGAGACTGCTGGTCCTGCATCAGGCGTTGTCATGGAAACACGTACCGCATAAGTATGACGTCATCACACGTTCTCCCTGTCAAATTGCAACTTAACACCTTGAAAATCTGATGTTTGTCTTTGTCTGAGATGTATATATTTATTTGTCCCACTGCAGACTGTCGTATCATAACGCCTATTATGTTGGCAATTCTGTTTCATTGTGCCTACAATTTACACACGTTTCAGGCACGCTTTAATTTAATGGATTTAATTAAAATTTACATTAATTTTTACGATATTTTCTTTTAATGATATACTCGAAGAATGCTATCGTTAAAGGCGGAATGCTGTTTTGTTTGAATAAATGTTACATATTCAGTATTTATTGATACACTGCATATTCCGAAACTTCGCAGAATAAAAAAATTAACACGATATGTCACATTTTTGTTCGATGCGTGAACTATTTTTTGATAAAATGAGATAGTTAACAGCAATTTATATAGATAACGTACAACATTAAATTATTCTAATAGATTTGTAATCTTTATTTTCTTTGGGAAAAGTAGATGGTATCACATCCATACGTTTATATATGTTTCTTCTATAACAACATTAGAACAAACTGGAGAATATTCATTAAACTTGGTGGATGTCATACCACTTTTAATTTCCTGTTATTTTTAATACCAACATGTTGACATGTAATGTGAAAAATACATTTTCACCACTAGTAGAGCGTATGTTCATTCAGACAGGAAATAAGAATTATGCTATTTAAACACGAGAGACGATTTTGAGTAAAAACATTTATGGAAAATGTTTATGTCCTAAGCATCCATGCTTCACGAGATACGGTCTTGAAGACCGGAGAACAAATGAAGAAAGGAAGTCCAGAATATAAATTGTTCTTTGAGTACCATCATTTACTATTGAAATGTTGCTGCTACTCGTCCTCTATCAGAAAGTTCCAAATGGCTGATCAGTAGCTTGTGCTTTAAATTGACAAGTTGCTTCAGAACAGGGTGATACAGCGAATCGTTATTCCAACTTAATAAATGCTATAAAATGTAGAAATATCCTAGGCTTACACAAAAAATACATTGTAAAAGTAACTTGTAAGTATGAACTCATTTTATTTAAGGATATCTGTTATGACGGAAAAATAAATTCTATACGAACATGTACAAATTTATTTTTATCAAGGAATATGTGAGGCACATTAATTTTCTTTTTCATATTGTCTGAAGTGACCTTATCGGACAGTGTTACTTTTAGAATAAGCACCTAACTGTGTGTGTGTGTGTGCGGAATAAAAGTCTATGTTCATGATTTCTGATGTGGCACGTCTTTCTGTTACTGTAGAAAGCGAGGAAGAAAAGAAACATGGAATATATTTTGGTTCTCCCAAAAACTAAATTTTATTCTATTATAAAGGGATCATTGCTCATTTTCACCTGTATTTTTTTTTCTAAAATGTTTATTGCATGTTATTGCACAAATGTTTAATGTATACTTTTGCTTCCTGAAAATAAAATATATCAAACTCTCAGTTATTTACGGTGCTGGAAAATGCACCAATTTCTATCACAAGATAAATGCAGACTTTCTACTTTCTCCTTTCAATGTATGGCACTACTTTTATCACACATCAGTTAAAACTGCCGCACATTTTAGAAACGTTTTTCATCATACGAAATGAGTTACAGTGCATATGTAATACAGAGAAGTGATGTCTCGAAGAGTGACTCACTAAATTTGGGAATCGGTTCACTGAATGGGTTCCGGCAGGTATTTAAGAGATATGTGGTAATGGGAAAAAAAAGAAAAAGAAAGAAAGAAAAGAAACACCGTTCACAAACACGTGGACATTCAGCTCTTGGGTGACGTGTTGTATAACAATTGTCCGTAGTGTTTTACTGTGACGTGGCAATTACAGATATTTTTACACAAAAACATTATTGGCATTGGTAAATATCTGCTATTAGTCAAATGTTATAAAAGTTTCTTCACCATTCTCCATGCACACATTACCAAATATTCAGACGGGTACATACAGGACAATCGAAGAGACACGCAACCCACATGAAAATATTTGTTGGTAGTCGCAATTCAGTACAATTCGATTCGATTCTGTGATTACATAACAGCCCACACAGTCCGTGAGTTGCCTTTCAACAATCGAAGTGCAAGAATGTCTTCTTCACAGTAGCATCGTGGGTTCAGTGTCGGACACTTCCTGGCATCTCGTTCTTATTTTAATTTGCCAGAATGAGTTTCGGGATACAGTTCCCGATTCTCCTGTGTCAACGAAATTTGATAATATCTCGTCTGGCGAACCGTATCCATAACACAAGAAACGTGCAGGACAAAAACCATTCCGGTCACTTTCAATGTCAACTGACGATAGTTTGGGCGATATCCCCCAAAATTTGTCACGCCCTCAACGAAAGTCACTGAAAAAATTTCTCCTCATAGTGGATTATCCTACGAAAGTGTACAAATAGAACATGTGCCAGGAATAGGTTACGTGATTTTTCGATCATTCTGTATTTTATTTATTAAAATCATAGATATTTATACAATCAATATGCAACGTTTAAAAAGAATGAGAAAGTTACAGCGTATTTTATAAACATGATCTTCTCACTCACAGTGATGTTTATATTGGTTAAGGTTGCATATATGGGATAACGGCAGACACAAACTACAACTTTTATGTATTTAGCATAATCCATACATTTCGTATGAAGCATATTCAGTCTTGTCCAGAATTTATTAAAATAATTATTTTATTTTATTGACTTCCGGTAAACCACATCCTGTTTGATATATTTCACAGACGTTTAGTACTTCCAGCCATTTGTGTCTTCTCGACAATACCTATATTATCATGGAAATATACATACGAATGTAGCATATTTTCTGTTAGCTAAAATCTCAGCACAGGCAAGGGTTAAATAACACACTAAAAAAATTCTTTAATATAATTTAATTACAGGCATGACACTCTCAGCCATTCAAAACACGAACATTTTATCACGTTTATTTGCGGTAGACAGAACACAGACTGGAGACCTTTTCAGAATATCGAGCTTTAAAGAATACAATTGTATATAAACAAAACTAACTACAGTAGAAAGTTGTTAAATACAAGTATTATGTTATTTGTTATAATTTTATATTCTAGACTTTGCTGTTACATAAGCAAAATATGCATTTAGTTTTGATTAATAATCAGCATTAAGCAAAATTGTCATCTTTTGATTTTAAGTGGATAAGAATGGCTTCAAAATCCTGGATTATTGTTCAGAAAATCATATTTACACATGAGTATTGCTTCATACATAACATGTGGTGTTCATTTAATATAAACCTGTAATACTTACTTGTTTATATACTAATATTAAAAGTAAAATCACAGTGTAAAAAATCACTGTTTTTACCTAACAGGTACATATGCTGTGCAAACAGATTAACAGCAGTGTACCTCAGAGCATTCATCAATTTGTATTCAGTTTTGCAAACATTACAGATAAAAACAATGAAATTATGACGAAATAACTCTTACAAATAGTGCTTGAAATAAAAATTGATTACGCTGGTTTATCACATTTGAAAAGTATGAAACCTTCCTTCTTGTATGGATACAGAAAATTACCTAAAAGCTGTCACTTGCTTCTGATTACTTCGGTTTATGAAACCTCTCATTAACAGTAAAACCCCAATCTAGTGCTGAGGTTGAGAATGAATAGGAGCTATAATTCTCTCCCCTACGCGCCTACATGGCGCGTAATGGGATGGATTTACCTCAGTACTAATAAATATAACCACGTACGTTATTTCTCACGATCCATTACTGTGTGGTTTAGAAATAAAATAGAGTTGTTTCCTATCTATCCTGCTGTTTTATTTTGTATTACACCTCCTTTTATGGTATTCAATTAAGTAGTGCATAAATTTGGCTGAATTGAGAGTATTATTTTAACCGAACAACGGTTATATTTCTACTCTAATATTTTTCAAATACATGGAAAATAAGTAAAATATGTAAATAAATGTAACCATGTTAAGAATTATTAACAAAATGAAAAAAAAAACACATCACGTTCTTCACATAAAAATACTCACGATTTTTACATCATGGCGAAAGGTACAAATAATTCTAAACAAGTACTGCTATTCAGTATGAGACTTGAAGCCTTAATGACAGCCAGACGTGATCAACTCGTCTCGGACGATCAATTCAGAGTAGAAATCCAACATTTGTAGCACTGTCTCTTTCTCAGTCATCAGAGGTTCAATAGGCTGAGATAGTCTGTGAAACGTTGGACGTCTGTTTCAAAATGGCTCAACTGATCACCAAACTTAATGTTTCGAACAAGTAACAAAAGTTACTTCTATTTATTGTGTAAGCATAATCTCACGGGATGAGATGCAGTTCCTGACAACACACAAAAAACAGGTCACATGTTAACACGATTACAATATGAGTAACTTGTAGTCAGTCTCGGTAAAATTCAAGATGTGCACGCCCATACAGCGCCAACAAACTGGGATGAGAACTTGATATTCAAGTAGGAAAAATATTTTCAAAATTGTGATGCGATTTTCTTATTTTATACCCAAGGAATCCTATTGCATATGCAAAAGATTTAATATCTCAGCCCCAGACCTAAGTCAGAACAAGCCAAAATAAAGAGAACAATACGCTTACACTCTTCCGACATTCTACAATTTGTATGTTTAATTTAAATGAATAATCAGTTAAATGAGTCTCAAAGATAATCAGTATTTGATGTGATTTAAATATTTTTCCTTTATATATAGACATATAAAAATTCTAGAGTTCTCATTTTCTTGAAGATTGTGAAAGATCCCACACAAAATGGGACTGCAAAGAAAATTAGTATTGAAAAATAGATTCCAAGCGTAAATGAGTTTCTTCTTTTTAATATTCTGTCTTGTATAGTTAGAAGACTTGAGATGGGCTCATTACGCAACTACAGAATTTCGACCAAAGGCGGTAAGTATATGTTAAGGTTAGCTGTGTTATCCCGTGTTGAAAAACAGACAAATAAAGTCTTGTCTTCCTTTCCTGGTTCATTGGCATTCCATAGACTGGATCACAGCAGAACCGATAAGATAAAATGCATATTTCACCAGCTTCAGCCAGCCAGCCAGCCAGCCAGCCAGGATGTTGTTACCATACTTACACTCGCAGCGAGCGTAAACCTCAACTAGATAGCTAACAACGCCTGGCTGGATGGAATTGCCTAAAGATACATTTTATTTGATCGATTCTGTTGTGTTCAATGTGTGAAGTGCCGCTGAACTATGAAAATACGGCACAAGGCTTTTTTATTTTTTACAAGTGTTAGCCGGATTAACACTGCTAACACGGCTAACATAACCGCTCCGCCCTGAATCCGACCTAATACATAACAAACTGAATGAATATAAACTTAATAAAAACTTTTATACTGTTACTAAAGCACTAAAAGATGATCAACAGAACGTAAGAAATCGATTTTGGCTTAAGACTGGAATCACATGGATTTCTATCGTATGTTATCCGGTGTATGTGATGGGCCTATACTCCGGACACAGAGTACTACCAGATGTTAAGGAGTTTATTGTTTTCGAATTAATTACAAAGCGGAACATGCCAGAGGACCTAATCTGTGAAGACGGGGTAGGAAGTGTGAAATCGTATAATACACACTTGTCCTTACCAGCAGCACCCCTTTCAGCCATGCAAAAACTTCTTCGTGAACGTGAAAAATAAAGAGCCGTTATTGTATGACACATCTATGTTCGTCATCTGAGGAGACCCCAATGCCAAGATTAGCCCCTGCACGACCTCTCCGTCTGCCTCTTACCAATCCTCTAAGACTCCCAAAAACACGACCACCACCCAACCCCCCGGAGCCTCCACCATCACCAACAATGCCACTGCCTAACGAAGTTTTGGTACGCATGATCATGAGATCAGTTCGAATGCTCGGACGTCTGACATTCGGCGCGACAACACCACAAGCGTCGCTCAGACGTCGCTTGATGGAGATGGTACACTTCTTGGAGCGATGGCTCGGTGTGGGAGGGGGCAGCGTGTACGGGCTGCCAAAGCTGGGGTGCAGGCGTTTGTGATGGTTCGGTGCCATCTCCAACGGGAGCCCAGCTACTACGAAGAGCTCATAGAAAAGTTCGTCGACTCTTATGTTGCGTTTGGCTGATGCCTCGACGAACACACAGCAGTCGTCTTGTGTCTCGACGTATGCCGAGGCTTCATCTACAGATACAGTCCTGTGGAACAGAGAAAGACACTCACATTTCGTGTTGGCTACAACCGAGTGGGCGGGATGACGCACTGGAGACACAATAAACTTGTAGGCTATTTGGGAAATTCGCTGTTGGAGTCTCAACCGGTTTATCGGCGATTATATCCCGCTTTTCCACAGTCTCTTCAGCTGGAACAAAAAGGCCGCAAATGTATCCTTCCAAATCCGTACCAAGTTACCACCCATGATCATCATTCCATCTCATTCGACGGTACTGTAAAGTTAAAAGCCTAATCTATATTTCTTTGTACAGTAGAACCGAATATTGACAATATTAGGTCAATGAGGTTGATATACACCGAGTGGGCTTAGTTTCAGTTACTCTTCGTGAGGTCAAAGTTTCCACGGAGCTAGTCTGTTGTTACAAGAGAAAATACAAATTTTTATCGCCGCTTATACAGAAGATTTTATTCAATATATTCTCTCTTTTGGCTATAAGTTACATAGTGTTCTTACTGTGTTCTTACACGCAACAATTACGTCATTTTAAAGCCATAAGCATTACGTAAGATGAGTGGAGGACATATACATTCATCGATCCTAATGGAGCAAGGAGCAACTCTGTTGTTCTGACTAGGTCGATCACTTTTCTTCCGCTCTTCAGCCTATGTATCACCTAGAGTTATGAGAGAGTGAATGAACGGGTACAATAGTCTAGCACGGGGAAATTCGCCAATACCAAGGAGGATAATTGGGGGGGGGGGAGAAGGAAGATAGCATCCTTGACAGGACAATAAAGCTGCTTCGTACTGTAAACAGGTCTGTATTTTAAGGTAACTAAAGATATTAAGGGTTAGGGATATAACTCTAAGTCAATAACCTGATGGCGTGTTAATGAATACTGGTCACAGACAGTCTCTGATCTTTGTAGAGGACCCTTAACTACAAAAGCAACTTTTATGTCCTACGTTTCTGTGAAAAAATCTCTCCAGTCTAGAAATAAATGATGTGAACTCAAGGACTTATAAGCAAACACTTGCAGTTTATTGATAAGTGAAGTTTTCACAGCGGTGAAGATGCCATGTAACGCCGTGTGGACTTGTGGGTACATACATAGAGGAACATAATGTCTCTTGAAGATACATGTAGTGTGTTCCTCCCGAAGCGTTGGTACGTACCCACAAGTCCACGCGGGCTTATAACTCAGAATAATAACAAAAGAAATTACCTGTACAGAATATTTCTAGCATATTCACAAGCAGTAAACAAAACAATCTTGTCTTTTACTGATTTACACAAGTTCGGCGCTGAAATATATTTAGACAGATGTATGGCATTATAGAACGGACTATTCTTTTCAAAGCAGACTTTGTCACTAAAGTGGCAATGAGTAGCTTGTATATGTGATGTATTGTGGCTATAGCAGGCACTGAGAGAGAGAGAGAGAGAGACAAACGATGACAGACACATCATATTTGACTGAACCACACTTCATAAAGGTCAACACACACTTTCGCATTTGGCCTGATTTGTCTACATGAATGACGAACAAAGGGTCGATTGTGGATGGAAACTCAAACTAAACAGGAGACCAAGGAGTGTAAACTCAAGAGAGACTACGAGTCAATCGCTGTTCTAAAATGGAATGACATGCATGTTTCACTATGGTGAGGAAGCAAGAGTTGAAACAGACAACCTCAGAGAGAAATTGAAACATGTAGGCCTATGTTTTATTGTACAATTACTTTCTACTATTAGTGAAAATGTCCGTTCTTAAACTGTACTCTAATACTGAAAGTGCTCATCATTTACGACCACTTGAGAGGAGGAAACATTTTGAATCAATATATTTCTCCCTTTTGAAATATCTTTTCCTTTTGCTTTCGCATAATTTTATAATGGAACGGTATACGTTGAAACTGCGACACTGCTGCGAGGAATACCATCCGCGACTCACTGGTTTAGAACTACCGGTTTTTCGCCAGGATGTCAGTATAGTTAATCAAACAATTGCTCGTATTTATCAGTATCACAATTTCTATTTCATCTTTCTTTATTCCTCATTCATAATTATTTCCATCGTCTCTATAAGCTGCAAAACGGAACATCTGAATGCCTGCAATTCTGCATATAGACTACCTGCGTTATTCAGGTGACGGAGAAGTTGCCGTAGCAGCATGGCGCGATAAATCAACTCCTGTGGACTGGACCAACGACGCCTAAGCGCTGTAGTTTACAACGAGTGTCATGTAACGACCTTCCTATGTTATAAACAGTGGAAAAAGGTGCCCAACATTCCAGAAGTTAGAAAACGCACATATTCAGTTACATGTATCAAGCGACGAAAACTGAACTCTTTCATTTGAAACTAAGTGACATTTAGATTAAATGGCCAATGAACTGTTCGTTTTATGGGTCACATGTACGACTCTGCATGGATGTACAACCATTAAGGCTCTAAACTTCGATGACAGACATTAATACAGTTTTTGTTTCTTTCTTCGTTTATTTAATGACTCTTCGTAAAGTGAAATGGGTATGTAGAAAGAAAACCAGGATGGCTGGAACTACAAACATAAACTAAAAAATCTTACCCATCCTGTTTTGAATATTATCGCCCATTATTAAATCTCCCTCTGGCACCAAAATTCCTAACTATAATACTTCCAAAAATTAATTTTTTCTGACCACAGAAATCGCATCGAGGATTATTGTTGTTTTTTGGTAGTCTATCAGTAAGTTGGTAACGTTACACGTGTCACAGTTTTATAGCTATGCGAGGACAATGGAAACTAGTTTTATGAAAATGATGGTAGGTCCATATTGTTTAAAGACGTGTGCGCCCCATTTCTTAATTTCTCAACACCAGTTTTGAGGTAAACAACAACTATTTTTATATTTTGTCTCCTATATATATCAATATGTGTAGACTTACGTACCTATACGAATTATATAAAATATTTATTTAAATTTCATTGCATCCTGTCTGAGAATTTTCCGGCAGCCAATTCCTAAAATATTTAGAATACGTAAATAAATTGTACGTTTCCGATTTTTTGTCGTTCGTAATTATAGCTGTCAGTGCGCTAGTGAGACTTCAAAACACGTGAGAACGTAATTTACTTCCACCCTCGTACAATTACATTATTTTACAAACTTCCATCATGTGTGATACATTTTCAGTCGCTACAAATTTTGTGTTCACTCAGTTATAATTCTCCTACAGAAGATCAAACCAAACACAGAATCACATGTAAAGTAATTCCCTTCTGTGGTAAAGTGTTCTATAAATCATCGTAATACAGTCAGGTCTGTATATGCCTAAATCCATTAATTAATTTGTTCCCTTATGCATACGCATTAAACATCTATTAACCGAGTGGTTTTAGTGATTACTCATGCAGCTAACGATTACTCGAAATTCAGAAATATTTATTTCATAACGTGATAGAACCTCATGAGGTAATATTAAAGTTCGGCCTCAGTACAGAGTGTAACATAATAAGGTACACCATCTGAATGTGTTGTTACGGAACTAACACCGGTAGCATAACGCCGAATAGACTTGTAGTTAGATACCAGCGTTTCAGATAAACATTCTGTATCCAAGTAGGATTTGATATTTTCAAGGCTGTCTTCTGGGTTGTTGCGCCGAGTAGTCTGGCAGAAGTTTGCCGACGTTTCAGAGATCCTTGCTACCTCTATCATCAGAATTCATCGCCACAATATTGGATGCAGCAAGGAACTCTGAAACGACGGTAAACTTCTGCCAGACTACTCGGCGCAACAACTCAGAAGACAGCCATCTTCATACTGTATCAATTTCGACGGCTGATCGCTAGTCACTGAAAGGTTACCATTATGTAATTCATATTATAAGATCACTTTTTTAATATTTATCTTGATATTACAAATTACGTCGTTAGGCCGTTCAGCATTCAGGTTTCCTGTCGATATGCGAAGTAAGCCAAACAACGAAGGTTCCCAGAGAACCTCGTTTAGACTACAATAGCCTCCTCTACATAGTCAGGTCTATCCAAGTTCTGTCCCTTTACGGCGACATGTTTCCTTCAGAGTTTCGCTTAGTTACTGAATTGACAAAGAGGATAACTCAGTGTAATGTGTTCATGGAAACTGGAACCTAATTGGAGGCGCTGATGGTATCAGGTGTTCTGCAGAGTGAGACATCTCTATAGCAACCATTTCTGCTGTTATTATCAGATTTTGTCCCCATCTACCTGCTTGACCACTATAACAATAACACGAAGCAGAAACTATTATATGAAGTTATGTTAATTACAGATTTACGGTTCAACAGAGTGTAAAATTATATAAAATCACACTGGCACAGACCGACATCATCCCATAATTCAAGTTTCTCAACAAGTGTCCCACAGCACGCTGCTGTGTCGCGACAAGAGTCCAAATGAGCCACCACACTTTAAAACCAGAAATAGTTTCTGCGCAATTAACAAAACTTTACAAATGTTTTAACTGAAATTAGATTTTTAGGCACATTTCAAACCAATTAGAAATGCCACTTGACTTTCTAACGCGTTCCCAAAATCAGCGTTTAGTTCTTCTATCATATCTCGCTACATTCTCCTCAAAGATTATTCTCAAACATCCTCAACCTCTGCTCTAGCCCAGAATCAGAGAACAAGTTTCCTCTCCGAACATAACTTTCAATATACAGTGAAAATATCTTTCGTATGCATCATATGCTCGAGACCTCTGTGATCGTTCTATGTATGGTAACATATTTGAATGAAGTTCCGCAACGTTTAATATACAGAATTTGCAGATATATTTACATGTGAATGAGTCTTATACAAATGTCTACGATTACGAAGGATGACTCGTAAGTCGCTTTACCGAAACAGGTGCAAAATGTGGATTAAACTTTGCGGGAAAAATTGAACACTTCTTGTAAACCGTGATAAAAAAAAGTTTTTGATTCTTTTATTTAAGCGACTTATGAACCATCCTATATTTAAGATCGTCAAAATTTCGTCGTACAAAACA